TATTGAAAACTGGTAAATGTCAAGCATTGTCCAAAAGCGTCGAATTAACTAACAAATCCACCAATTACCTACGTATGCATGCTGCTTCCCCAGCACAGTCGTCAGAGAATAGTAAGTAGACGAAACAAGTCGAAGTGGCATTCGTCTCCGATCCTCGGGCACGTGCGAATACAGAGTTTGAAATTGCGTAATATTTTGCACACTCATCTTCATATTCAGAATCAAACGCAAATTCTTCGAGACAACCACCATTCGTCGTCTGGCTCGCCGTGGCGGTATCTGACGTATCTCCGGTCTGATTTACGAGGTGTGCTGAAGGTGTTCCTGAAAAATGAGATCCGTCATGCTGTCAACTACACTAAACACGCCAAGCGTAAGCGTCCATGGATGGCATCTACGTTTTGAAGTGACAGAGACGCACTTCGGAGGTTAAATCATCACCAACTTTGGCAACAAAACGGCTCATTTCAGGGCCACCAAGCTTATTGCAGTAAAGAGTAGGAATAAAATTAATCTGCCTGTTTGTCCATATTCAGAACCAACGATCACACAAAATGCTCATGTAATCAAACTGGAAGCAGGGGTACAAATTTTTTTATCAACCTTGATCAACTTTCAATCGCCGCGGCCAGATATTTTCGATGGAAGAAACAACAATCTAATTCGACGAAGACGGCAGGAAAAAATTGTGAAGCCGAGTTATTTACGAAAGAGAGTGTCGATGAAGAGAATCGATCAATTTAGATAGGACCTATTGAAAAGTGACGCGAGATTTGTTTTCCGTACTGAGCTCCAATGCTACCGACGCCAGGGAGGCAGCTCCCACACCTGGACCCTACCAATCGACCCATCAACTCAACTGGGGACCAACGGTTTTACTTCCCGAAGGAAGGTGTGATCAGATATGTTATGCCTTAGAACATGCCGGTGGCGCCGACTGATATTGGACCCAGGCCTGCTGGGGTGAGAGGTAATTACGCTAACCACCGATATCTTTCAAGGTGATATCACGGCGAATGAGATCGACCCAAATTTGAGTTTAGTTATCTCAGAAATAAGAAATAAAGTGCAGGAACTCAGCGATGAGTAAATTTGCCTCATGTTTTCCCAGGTTTTTCCAGGATTTTCCAGGGAAAAATTCCCGTATTTGACAAAAGTAAAGATTGGATTCACTCAGTCTATTGGCACTGCTCCGAAACTGAATAAAATTTTCTTCAATTTCCTCATTTTCTGGCAGACTTTTGAGGTTTTCCACAGGAAACCATGAGACAAATATACTCATCGCTAACTTCCCTGAAAAGGGCCATTTTGCTTACATCACTAAATAGTTGGAAAAGAATCTATCTGTGCCTGTTTGTCCATATTCAGAACCACAAGCCCCCAACGACCACACAAAATACTCTCCAGAGTTGTAATCTTGTAACCAAACTTGGAAGCAGGGGTGCAAGTGATTTTGATTGATTCTCTTAATCATTTTTCTCTTTGAAAAAAGTTACTACAAATTTGGTACGCCTACAATTCAAAAACGAAAAGAGTTGAGATAATAGATAATTGATCAATTAAAAGAACTAAATCCTCTTCACATTTATTCCGTTCACTAGCGGTCCTACGTCAAGCTTCCGTTCGTGGCCCTAGGCACAGACCCTTCTACTTTTTTGGAGTGGTCCTGAAGATGCACCGGGAGAAAGTCAGAAAGGTAAAATACGTACTATACTAGACATGGTTTCCGCAACGCATTGGAGTCCAATATCGGCAATATTAAGGATATGTAGCATCCACGAAAGTCTATTGATTCTGTTGCTGTTGTTGGATGATGAGTAGTCGAACCATTGTACAGTGAAGACTATCAGTTCAACGCCATATGACGCATCTATCTGATGCGACCTTCTCCGAATCGCATGAAACTTTGCATAATTTCATCCATTTTTAACCTGTGAATTAGCTAAAATTTGACCATTATCAACAAATCATAACTCGAAAACAACATTTGCAATCGAAATAACCCCTCACCTCAGCAGGCCTGGGTTCAATCCCAGTCGGCGCCTCCGGGATGTTCCGAGGCATAACATCTCTGATCACGCTTTCCTTTGGAAGAGAAGTAGAGCCGTTGGCCCCGGTTCATGAGTTAATGGGTCGGTTGGTAGTGTTTTCCTTGATTTGTTTTCCGTCGATCTTGTTTTCCGTGCTGAGCACCAATACTACCGACGCCAGGGAGGCAGCTCCAACACCTGGACCCTACCTATCGACCCATCATCAACTCATGAACCGGGAACCAACGACTTTGCGTGATCAGAGATGTTATGCCTCAGAACATCCCGGCGGCGCCAACTGGGATTGAACCCAGGCCTGCTGGAGTGAGAGGTAATCACGCTTACCACTACACCACCGGCGCCGCTATGTTTAAATCTTAAACAACATTAAATTACCCCCTTCAATATTTTTTGAATATGTTTCATCATAAAGCTCATAAATACAATCTTCCTTCCCGTAAGCCATTTTTAAACACCTTACCGATGGTGGGAGACCCTAATCTCATGCTGTAGGCCTGCATGGGAGACCAAGACAGTACCCCGAAGTGATGGTATCACACCTTCCTTTCATTCATTTCTAAGCCACGTTGTAGTACGTTTATATAAAAGCACTGACATCAGATATGATACCAGTGGTTTTTGTCGCAATGCAGTCTTAAATTGGACGGTACAAGTTAAATTCAACAATGTTCATTCTATCTCTATTCCAAACATTTTAAAGAAACCGACTAAAAAGTGCACTATTCCATTGCGTGAAGTACTTTCTTTGTTTTTTATTCAATAAGTATCATTGAAAGAGTAACCAAAAATACCTATGTTGCAGTTGGTATCATAAATAATTTATACAGGGGAAATGGATTTAATTTCAGCCTAAATGTCCTCAATTTGGGCCCATACATAAATTCAGCAATCGACTAAATTTACAAAAGTGACGAAAAATTCTCTTTAGTACAGTCCGAATGACGCGATCATCTGAAAAAAATTGATAAATAGCAGATGTTCGTATAGTTCAGAGGAGAACAGTGCTTCTGTGCTTAACTTTTGCACCGAGCACAGTAATAATTCACTTTATCACTTTATTAACTAAAACTAGTCCTTATGACATTAATTTATTTCTTTAAAACTATAATTTACACAATGTTATAATTGAACTAATTGAAATCACTTCTTCAAGTCTGCCGTTTTGTTTTGATTCACTGGTTCGCTTATGATTGATGATGGTGATGATGACGAGATGTCCATCCAAAAAGAGACCGATACCGCAGGACAGTTCCCTTTTTATAGAGGGTTCCTCCATTTTGCAAAGGTAGGCCGGATAGAGCGAGATCGACGGTGCACTTTTCCGCTGGGCGCCATCATCGACGAACTGAATGGTTGATGCTATCGGTTGATGCGAACTCACTCACAGGTGGCGCGCTGATGCCCTTTTCGTGCGATGTACGAACATCCCAACAAACAATTTGAACTGGCTAAGAGTTGAATAAGCCAATTTTTAGCTGAAGAAGCAAATTTTTGCATGAATAAGCTCTTATTCAGCTTTCAATGTTTGTTGGGATATTAGCCCCTTCAGAAATCGTATTTCTGATAGCTTTATCGATGATCGGCCAATCTGTGTCGGCAGTCATTGATGTCCCTCTCGTATTATCGATGAAGTGATGACGTTCGTCGTAGATGTCAAATTCGCGTCCATCGTAGCGAATGTTGTGAATATCGTGGTGATTCAATCGAACCATATCGAACCGTGGAATGTAAATATGAAAGAAGAAATAAGACCCGGTAGCGGGTTACGGCAAAATTTATGTTATTGGACAGGTGCTTACCTTGTCCTTTAGCATAAAGGACCTTGTATTTGTTTTATTTTAGGTGCTCTTGGTGTTTGGAGGAAATATCAGCATTCGGAATTGGTGCAAATTTTCTGTTGTTGCTGCTTGATTCCGGTACGAAGATTTCGCTGTAAGCTGCTAGTGTATGATAGATGCTCTTGGTGGTGTTTAGCATGATGCAGTTGTTGTTTTCTTCGGGTGAAGTGAATTCACAGTTTGTGGAAGTCGAATCGATGGCTAATGTTGAGTTGCTTGTTTGTTGCGATTCACTGAAAATCCGGTGATGTTGAAGTCTGAAAGAGCCTTCCATGCGGATCCAAAGTGGAAGTGTTCATGCGTGAGAGACTCAAAATTAAGTCGAACGTCGCTTATTGAAGCAAAAGAGCACGAGTTAAGGCGGTACTCGATCTGTGTCAACAGTGTTTCCATGTCGTCTTGTGGTTGAATCTGATAACCCAAAACGCGTACGAAATGCTTTTGGGCAAATCGAATTACATCCTCCAAAAGACCACATAACGGCGAAGCTATGAGAGAGTGCCAACTAACCGAGATATTGATACATTCTCCAGCGATTGCTTGCTGATCTTCTTTGCTGCGGTCCAGTTTCCATCGTTCGGTTTATGACTCTTATAAGATTGCGACCATTGTTGCCGTAGCTTTCGCTGGACAGCCTTCGGTGGGAGCTAAAACGACGCAGGGCTTGAAGAAGTTTTCTGCTTAGGTAGATAATCAGCTCGATGAGATTGGCGCGGGTGGAGTAACATAGGACACCCGCTATGTAAGCCTTTCGTAGTGCTCCTCGATAATGTGTAAACTGCTGCAAGATGAGTCCCCAGTAAACACTGAAAGATTGCGATCGAGTGGTGGTGTCTCCTGATGCAAATGCATGCTCGACCATGGATTGTTTCAGGCTTGTTATGTGAATTTTGACGAAAGCAATACAGATTTTCACAGTGGATCTGGCTAGGCTAGCCCCTGTGATTCAGTACTGTGTGCGAAAGTAAGTGCGATACAGTTTGTGTACAGTATGCTGATACCTTTAGTGATGCAACCGTCCAAATGTCACGGAGAAAGCTTGCAAGGCAGAGAGAAAGATGAAGCGTAGACGAGGTTTCGAAGGTACTGATCGATATTGTGTGAGCTGCTTTCACTGGTATGCGAACGTTTGCTGTTGGATCAGCCTGAGTAAGGTTGTTTCCGCTTTGTTCTTTCTTTCCGTAACGTAGGAGGTTGTGACGATGATTATTGGAGGTTGACGTATTGTATCGTGATCGCAGAACTTGTCCATGTGTAGTTCGATGAAGGATGGTTCTGCGAATACTGGGCAGATGGTTGTCGGTCGCTCTTCTGGTTTCTCGAGTGCATTACTGGCATCGTCTTTTGTTGGCAAGCGAGTAAGTCGAATTTGTTCTTTGCATGTTGATTGTTCGTCGGAGGAGGAAGGAGTAGCGTCTTCCTCAGTGGAGCAGAAATGCTTCGTGGACCGATGTTGGTCAGCGACCAATGCGACGTTGGAGATTACATGTTTCGTAGGAGTGCCGTGCGAAACCTTGCCTGAAACGATCCAACCGAGGACCGAGTTAACCAAAGTCGGAAGAGAGTTACCAAGTGGAATGCGCCCAGGAACTTTAAAGAGCTCGAAAAAGATTTCAGCTCCGATGACGATATCGATCTGCTTCGATTCGTGAAAATATGGGCCGGCTAAGTGCACTCCAGGAGGAATTTGCCACGAAGAAGTGTCGAAAGAGGCAGTTCGTAGATCGATGGTGACTTTGGGTAGGACCAGAAATTCAGCCGAGGTGGAGTAATCACTGACTCTCGAGCGAATGGTGGAAACGATCTTGTATCGTGCATGCGACGACGATTGACCGATCCCCGAAATCGGAACAGAGATGTTCTTGCGATGTGCCTTGACGAGCTGCGCGAAGGTCTCGGTAATGAAACAGCATTCACTACCGGAGTCGAGAAGTGCTCGTGCGTGGTGAACAGTTCCATTGTCGTCGACCAGTTTGACGACTGCTGTGGCCAAAAGTACATTGTGCTGTAACTGTTCGGAGCTCGCGTAGCTGACAGGTTCATGGATGGTAGCTGATACGGATGCCTTTGGTTGCTCGCCGGACGTAGAAGCGATTGGTGCCTCGGATTGGAAAGATTCGGTAGTCCTGGAGTTCTCAGCGACTGAATTTTTCCCGGAGCAGAGCTGCGTATGATGTCGGCCTCTACACTTGCGGCAGGAGCTAGATGACGAGCAATCCCGAGCGTGATGACCTTTGCGAAGGCAGCTACGGCAGAGCTGATGTCGGTGAACTTCCATCTCTTTCTCCTCCAAGACGAGTTTGGTGAACGACGAACACAAATAGAGCGGATGTTGATCAGAACAGAAGATGCATTTCTGTCCGAAGTTATATTGGTTGGCTCCGTTACTGGCAATCGGACGTTGAGCAAACTTCTTGAGCTGCTGAGTGGACGCTGGAGCTTCTTCGACTTTCCTTTGAATAGTTTGGAGAACAGTCACCCTCCGCTGGATGAACGATATGAGGTCTGTGAACGAAATGGCATCCTTCGTCGACGAGTGCTCCTCCCAGTCTCGTCGAGTGGTTGGATCCAGGCGGATACTCAACATTCGGATGAGGATGATGTCCCAGAACTCAGTCTTCTCTCCAAGTTGCTTCAGTACCTTCACGTTGGCTTCAAATTTCTCCACTAGCGAATGAAGTTCGGCTGCAGATTCGCGTTGCATTGAAGGAAACTCAAAAAGGGCGTCGAGGTAGGACTGCTTTAAGCGAGCAGTATTTTGAAAATGGTCCACCAGCAAATTCCAAGCGACGGGGTAGTTGTTCGCACTAAGTGGAATTGTTTGAACCAACTTTAGGGCGTCTCCAGCCAAGGACGAACGAAGATAATAGAACTTTTGGATGTTGGACAACTCGAGCGATGAGTGAACCAGTGAAACGAAAAGGTCGTGGAAATTGAGCCAGTCGTCAAGATTTCCACAGAATATGGGCAGCTTTACGCACGTGACATGATGAACCAGGGAATTCGGGATGATGACGGCGTTTTATTCATGGACAACAGAAATCCTTTAACACGATAATACGTCGTCTCGAAATCTGTCCGCTGCTTCAACTGCTGATCTATGGTTGCTTCGTAGAGGGATTCGAGCTCTGACTGGACCTGCTTAAAGTCAGTCCATAGAGCGTCGAGGCTTTCCAAGCGAACCGGAATTTCGCAGGCTCCGGTTTCCTCGTCGTAGTTGTCAACGAAGGCCTTAATGAGGCTGACTGACGCAAGTAGGCTCTTCTGCCTTATCTTGAGGCCCTTGATGCGTCGGTCGGTTGACATGATGAGTGGCAAACAGGGTCTTGCTATAGGCAATACAGTGCCTTGTACACAATTACAGCAACAGCAATGGCGGCGTCCAGTACACTGATGTGGATCTTCAGGAAGCGACAGATGATGCGATGGGTCTGAAAATCAATAGACCACGCAGCACAAAAAAAAAGCAATACACGTAGTTGGAATGCTAATTACCTTTGAAAGGCTAAGCAATGCCTTTAACTGAATAATCATAGTATGGCGTACAAAGTAGTGTTTTTGTTGAGTTGTGCTGTAAAAATAAATTAATAATTTCGTGTGAAATAGTGGCGTGTACCGCGAAAGGATTATTCCAACGCGTGCCCGTGGTGTTTTTCTAACAGGATAAATAGAGGAAAGGTTGCCTAGCAACTAGTTTTTGTTTAATTTTGTATTTTCCCCCCGGCGCGCTATTGATTTGTATAGTGAGCTGTGGCGGTAAAATTTTATTTTGTGTTCTCCTCCCCTGTATATGTCTGCTGCTAACAGTGTTAGCGATTAATTTGGTAGAATGGATGTGTGTAATGTATGCGAGCAGTCTATTGCTATGAGTGGGCTCCCAGTTACGTGTGTAGGTCCGTGCAATGGAACGTTCCATTTCGCTTGTGCGGCACTCACTAAGACTGCGGCCAGGCTTATAGCAGATAATGCAAATATTCTGTTCAAGTGTGATAGTTGTCTATCAGATCAGAGTTGTGACGAGCAGAATGATCTGATCTCGCGCGTCAAAAGGATAGAGGAAGAGATGAAGAAGGTTTTTCAACTCTCGGACTCGATCACTGGCATGCGAGATCACATTGCTGCTCAGGTGGACATCGCGGTTAAAAGCGGGATGGAAGATATTAGAATAAATGTAAATGGTCTTGAAAATTTGATTTGTGAGAAATTGGATAATATGAAAAGTTCATTTTTTAAAATTGATGCGGAAAACCAATTAGCTGTAAAGAATGATCCGTGCAGTTCATCTAGGACGATTCAGTTGGAATCGGACAAAAATACCAGACGCAAAAAACGTAAATTAGTAATTAGTAATAGTGATCATGATGATGATGTTGTTTTTCAAGAAAATGCGAGTTTTGCGGATGTTGTAAAAAGACATAGTCGTATTAGTCAAAGTAAAACTAATAGTAACAGTAATAGTAAAAGTAACAAACCAGAAAATCGTAAGACTCGTCCGGTCATTGTGATTAAACCGAAAGAGTCCAAACAACCTTGCGAAGATACTCGTAAGTTTTTGAAAACTCAGTTGGATCCAAAAACACACAAAATCAGTAATTTTAGGAATGGTAAAGATGGCTCCATTATTGTTGAGTGTGCAACAGGAGCAAACGTAAGTGATGTGAAAAATGGTATTGAAAGCAATCTGGGTGAAAAATATAGTGCTGTTGTTCCCACTTCGGTGCCAAGATTGAAAATAGTGGGCATGAGCGATCAGTTTTCCTCCGATGTCTTTATTGACTACTTAAAAATTCAAAATGAAGACATCGCTATTAATGATGTAAAAGTAGTGAACATGTTTGAAAATCCACGCTTCACTTATAACAAGTTTAGTGTTGTAATTGAAGTCGATGTCGATACTTATAAATGTTTGTTATGTGCGAAAAAAGTAAATGTAGGGTTTGATCGGTGCTCGATAGTTCCCGCGATTAATGTGTTGAGATGCTTCAAATGTGGAGAATTTGGGCACAAGAGCATGGATTGCAAAAATTGTGATAGATGCTCTAGGTGCAGCCAACAACACAAAACGTCGGAGTGTACGTCAACTGTATTGAAATGTATTAATTGTTTGAAAATGAATAAAGAACGAAAAATGAACTTGGACGTCAACCATGCCGCATTTAGCTCGGAATGTTTGCTCTATAAAAGACTTTTTGATCAGAAGAAAAGCAGCTTGCGTTTCAATAAATAGCAGCCAAGTTCCAGGAATGTGAATCAATTCGATTTTTTATATTTGAATATTGCGGGGTTGTCAACAAACTACGTAGCATTACGTCAGATTGTTGAGGAAAAACGTCCTCTTTTAGTTTTATTATCTGAAACTCATATTGTAGAAACTGAAGCTTTTGATCAGTATAGTATTCCGGGATATATTGTTGCTGCTTGTTTATCACATTCTAGACACACTGGCGGTGTTGCTATTTATGTCAAAGAATCAGTTCAATTCAACCTTCGTACCAACGAAGTTATTGATGGCAACTGGTTCTTGGGCATTACAGTTGTACGTGGCATGAAGATGGGTAATTATGGTGTTTTGTATCATTCTCCCAGTTCTAGTGACCAGCGTTTTGTTGAAGTTTTAGAGAACTGGCTCGAGACATTCCTTGATTCTAGTAAATTAAATATATTGGCTGGTGATTTTAATATTAATTGGCGTGATAACCATAATTCGAATCATTTGAAGCGTTTAGCTGAGTTTTTTAATTTAAAGCAAACGGTAAATGAATATACGCGTATTTCCAGGCACAGTAGAACTTTAATTGACCACGTTTATTCCAATTTTGATTCCATTTGTTCAGTTACGGATACTGATTTGAAAATAACCGATCATGAGACTTTAGTGCTGGAGGAAATATTCGAAGCAAGCTGTTTCGAATCTTGTTGAGAGAAGCCTGGATTTTCCATTCGCGGCCGGTAACTTAGATGAATCTACAGCTGTTCTTAATAACGCTTTGAAAACGTGTACCAATCAACTAGTTGAGCAAAAGTTTGTTTCTTTGAAAAACTCGAACAGCTGGTACAATTTGGATCTTTTACGTCTTAAACGGAAAAGGGACAAATGGTACAAAAAGTTTTGTAGATCTAATAATGACAATCATTGGACTAGGTACACAATCGCACGTAATAAGTATTCACAATCGATAAAGAAAACTCGTTGTGAATATGTTCAAAGGAAGATTGATCAGCATCAAAACAACAGCAAAGAGTTATGGAAAATTTTGAAATCTTTATTGAAACCTAGTAATTGCAAACCGCGGTCCATAACTTTTAATGGCACATTAGAACAGTCAGAAAAAGTAATTGCATCTAAGTTTAATGATTATTTCGTAGACAGTGTTTCATTGATTAATCAATCTATTGAATTGGTCGATGAACCTGACGAAATAAAACAGCCAGTTAAAAGTAGTTGTAGATTTGAAGGTTTTCACCAAATTACTTTAGATGAACTTAGAGTTATTTGCTTTTCATTAGGAAAATCGGCTGGAGTAGATAATGTTAATGCTAGAGTTATTCAAGATTGCTTTCATGTCATTGGCCACTTCTTTCTGGACCTTATTAATGAATCATTGCAGAATGGACATATGCCACAAATTTGGAAGTAATCCTTAGTGATTCCTATTCAAAAAGTTGCTGGAACGATTAAAGCCGAAGAGTTTCGTCCCATCAACATGTTGCACACATTAGAGAAAATCTTAGAACTTGTTGTTAAAGGCCAGCTGTTGGAGTATTTGAATAGCAACTCTTTGTTGATACCAGAACAATCGGGATATCGGGAAGGTCATTCTTGTGAAACTGCATTGAATTTGGTGTTAGCAAAGTGGAAAGACAACTTGGAGCGTAAAGATACGATTGTTGCTGTTTTTTTTGGATCTGAAACGCGCTTTTGAAACAATTTCTAGGCCCTTACTGTTAAGTACAATCAAGCGCTTTGGAATTACGAGTACTGCATATAAATGGTTTGAAAGCTATTTGTCTGACAGAACTCAACGGACTGTTTTTAATGATTCTGTTTCCAGTCCCGTGGGGAACAACCTTGGAGTTCCCCAGGGAAGTGTATTAGGGCCCCTTTTATTTATTATGTATATTAATGACTTGCGACGTGTTTTACGGTTTTGCGACATTAACCTTTTTGCAGATGATACTGTGTTATTCATTGCAGCTAAGGATTTAGAAGTTGCCGTCTCACACTTGAATGAAGATTTGCAGTATCTAAGTAGATGGTTGAAGTGTAAGCAGTTAAAATTGAATACAAGTAAAACTAAATTTATGGTAATTTCCCGGAATCGATTAAATGAGAACGTCTCTGTTGTAATTGATGATGAGACTATTGATCGCGTTCAGGAGATTAAATATCTTGGCGTGATTATTGATGACAAACTTAAGTTCAACTCTCACATTGACAATGTCATCAAGAAAATTGCCAAGAAGTATGGAATTCTATGTCGATTGAAAAACGATTTAACTATTGCCAGTAAAATACAGCTATACAAATCAATCATCTCTCCTCATCTAGACTATTGCCCATCCATTTTATTTCTGTCCAATGCAACACAAATATCGAGACTACAGCGCTTGCAGAATAAAATAATGCGTTTGATTTTGAGATGTAATAGATTCACTTCCTCAACTTTGATGTTAGACGCCTTACAATGGTTGTCGGTGAAGCAA